AGCGTTCACTTTGGGGGAAGTGGTGAGTTGGGGAGGTAAGTGTGTCAGAAATGAGGCCATCTTCTTTGGACATATAGATTTTAACTTATTTATTTATATGGATTTTCCAAAAAGGGTTTCTTTGTGTAGCCCTGGCTGTCCTACAACTTGTTCTGTAGACCAGCCTGTACTTAAATTCAGAGATTTTCTTGCTTTTGCCTCCTGAGTGCTGGAATTAAAAGGCTGTGCCACCACTGCCGGACTTTTTTTTTTTTTTTTTTTTTTTAATACTGTGCTTGTGGCAAATAAAATTCATTTCAAAAAACTTCTTTTCTACTTACAGTTTTCTCCTTTTTAATCTCATCAACCTAAAGTAAGTTTGCAAAATAGTAGGTTTTCCTGTGACATTGTCATACTCACAATGAAATCATGTCATTTCCAAGAAAATTGTGGCAATAGGAGATCGTGGTGTTACATAAAATACGCGAGGTTTGGGAAGACAAATACGAAAAACTCACTCATGTGCAGAATTGATAGCAACAGAATGAGATATAAAACTAGTCAAAAGTTTCAGAAGAGTCTTTTATTGGTGAGGAATGTAATCTATTACTTTTCTATTTTTATGAAAAATTATTTTCTTACTTCACTTAAAATGTTATAGTAATAGATTTTTCCATTTTAGAGGAAAGATTTTCCTTGTATTTATAACAGATTTATTTTTTAGAGTTTCATGTTGTTTTAATATATGCTTATATTTTGTGGTCAATATATATTCAGAATTCAAGATTTGTGTTCTTGCATACATGCATCTATATATTTGTAATGAATTTTTAATATTTTTGTTGAATTATTATTCTGACTTTATTAGATAAACTTGGAGCTGAGTATGGTGGCACAAGCTTTTAATCCCAGGTGCTCAGGAGACCGAGGCAGGGGGATCACAGATATGAGTCTTGCTTGGGTTATATAGCAAGTTCTAGTCCAGCCTGTGCAACCTAGTGAGATCCTACAGCAAAATAAAAAAAATCTCTTTTAGAGACCTGGGTATAGTCTACCCAGGTAAGTTAGTGTGACTACCTAACATACAAAAAGTCTTGGATTATGTCCCCATTACGATAAATACATAAATAAAACAACTTGGTAAGATTCCAAAATCCACGTGGTTATTAAATTAACTTTTACGTGCAAAGTTGGAAAGACTTATTAGTTGAATCAACTTTTTAAATGAGTATTTATATTATATGTTTTGGTCTGCAGTGCTTCTCCATTTTCTGAATTATTGGTTCTTTTTTTTTAAGGAAATTAAATTTAATTCAAGCTTACCACTTCTGTCATGTGTTACAGATAGCATAGATCTCCATTATCCATTAGTTATCTCATACTTATTGATCTATGTTCTTTTGTTCATTAGACTTTAATAGAGATTTGCTCATCTTTCTATATTTTTCCCTTAAAAACCAACTCTTATTTGTTTAAGAATTAAAATTAGAATATTTGCTTTAATTTTCTTTTGACATTGCTCATTCCTTTCCTTCCTTGAAACTTTTAAAGGAAAAAGCCCTGTGCTTTATTTTTCTTCCTTAGATTTACTACATAGACACAAAATTAATAATTTTATTCTGTCCATGCAAAACTGATCACCCACAAAGTTAACACTGTGCCATTTGCTACTGACCCCTTGTCATGTAGAGTGGCAAATTTAGTGAGCATGCAAATATGGTGATTACTTTAGACTAAAACACATAGAAGTTCACAAAGAAACAACTCACTTCGTTGTTCTTTCAGAATTATCGGGGCGTTAAATGGAACTAGTTGCAGAGTTGGTAGGTGGAGGAGCTTACTCAAAGAGAAAGAAGCACCTTGAAATACAGCTGGGCAAGTGGGAAAACATATTCAGGAATCTAGCACCAGTACAGACATGAGGAGGCAGGCTATGCCTTTCTGTGAGGCTGGAGAGAAAGGTGCTCTGAGCTCCTATACACACTTCCTCAAGGCGGAAGTTCTCCTGGGCAGTAGTGCAGAATGATCTTGCTACTCTTTCCAATTTGTCTAGAGAGATTTGGAGTGCAATTTGGGAAACACTGTCCTCTGGAAAGAGCATGGATTCTGACTGAGGGACATGCATACCAGGTTCCAAAGAAGTCATAGGATTCCTACAGGGCTATAGCAAGGCTGTGAGCCTGGAGTGGTGAGGGCAGGTTTACTGCTGACTCCACGACTCCAGGATGCAGCCTGAGTGTCTCCACCTTCATCTGTCAATGGGAACACCGCTATTTGCCTTTCGGAGTTCCCGTGACAATTAAGTGTAAACTGTGTGTAAGACATTTCTAGAACTTTCTATAAAATCTTTAAGACACAGTTGAACATGCGGTGAATCTAATTTTAGGAGAATGATGATGTGACTATCATTTCATAAAAGAGATCCTGTGTCTTCTGTGATTTCCAACTGAAGGCATCCCTGACATTCCTCAGTTACATCCTTGGCACACGTCTGTCACTCAGCAATGTAATTGCTTTTACCACACAGGTAATTCAGTTCCACAAACATTTCCCAAGCCCGTGTTCTGCTGAAGATGACGCTAGATGACAGGGCTGCTTGGGAGAAATGAGGCCAGTCCCTTCATGGGTGTGGGCTCCACCCAGGCATTCACAACTTCAGGACCCGCACAGCTCTGATTAGCAAACACCAGCACTGCCTACAAATTATGGCGCCGGAGATAGCTTTCCTCGAGTACCCATGGGAGGTGACTGAAGTCATCCACTTGTCTTGCCTTTATGTGACTCTGCTGTAAGAACAGGAAGAAGCCAAAGAGCCCTTGGCCCTTGAATAGTCCAAAGTGGAAACAGTTGTACTTTATTGCAAATGAAGGAGTTTGGCAAGTGGTTTTAAAATAGAAATTATATATAAAGTCAGTAGGTCATGGAAAGCCTTCAGAGGAATTTGTTGGAGCCGCTCTTCAGGGGTAAAGATCAAAGGACAGCCACCCACAGGAGAAAGGGTGCAGTGATTTCACCTTCCAGCCTACAGGGCCATCAATAAATGGGTATAGTGTGTGCACAGACTGGATGTGGCTTCAGCATTTGAGAAGTAAAGAAATATCTAATTCTTCCCTGAAAAGTCAGTGCTAGGCGAATACAGCAAGCTTTGGGATGAAGTTTGGGCACACATTTCTGTCCAGCATTTGTCAGCATACCATGGATATTTACTCCTTTATATTATAGGGTTTTATTTAAACCAAATATAAGTTCATCTAAGTGAAAGAAAATTTATCATCACCACTTTCTTTTCTCTGCCTCAAGAGGGTTTAACTGTGATTTCTATAAATTCATCTAATGTCCCTACAACATAGCTTGTAGCTTTAATGTAAAACAATTTTGTGAAGACAGTTCGGACCAGAATGTATTTATTGTCTTTCATGGATTAAAAAAAGAATAAAATATTAGTCACAAATGTCATAAGCTCTCACAGTCTTTGTGACTGAGCTCCGTGAGAGGAAAAGCTGTGCCATGCACAAGGACTCAACACCTTGATATACCTTTTTTGGGGAATTTTTGGACAACTCTTTGGATAGAGCGCTCATAACTAGAGTTGAAAAGTGGGTGTCCAAAAACTTAGAAAGCCCATGCATTCTTTTGTATGCAAATATTGTGTGCACCGATACTGTGCAAAGTTTTCTGAAAATCTACTGTTTGGTAGGTCAATCGGTATTAAATATCTGTGATGATTGATATTGATCAATAACTTCACAGGCTATATAATCACTTATGAAAAACATAACTGGCCATGTCGGTGAGGGGCCTTCTAGATGAACTTAATTCAGATAGGAAACACACCCTAGATATGGGGAGCTTCATTTTATGGGCTTAGGTCCAGAACTGAATAAAATGGAGAGATTGACCTGAACGCCAGCATGCGCTTCTTTCTGTTTCTTGACCACAAATGCCACGTGACCAGCTGCCTCACTCTCCTGCTGCCATGTTCCCCCCCCATCTTCAAAACTGTGAGACATAATGAATCTTTTTTTCCTAAGCTGCTTTTGTTGGGTATTTTGTTACGTCGATGGGGAAATTAACTTCCTATCTACAGAATAAGTCATTGACTTTCAAGAAATAAATTTGATATCCCCATTTTGAAATCTGTTAATACAGATTTATCACTATAAAATCTTTCTAAATTGTCTTCCCAGGACAAAGGCACATTTCTCATAGACACAATTCTCAAATACTGGGCTTTGATAGCTTTCTTTTCTTAATAGTTGGATTGCTAAGTTTTGTCCTAGATAAAGTCACAGAGTAGAGGCACACTGTGTCTGTAGGCACTGTTTCACATGACCAATAGGAAACACTGCTGTTCTCAGAGTAAATGTATAGAAATACTCTGCTCCGTCCTATTTATAGCTGTGTGATCCGAGGAACGGATCTTAAAAGATTGGTGTCAGCTCAGAGTAAAAATCCGAGTAGAAAACTACGTCATAGTGAAGAGACAATTGTTTCCCTTCTTATGAAAGCTCTGGCCAGACTTGGAAACTTTAACCTAGATACGAGAAGATTAATTAAAAACAAGGGGCGCACTTAAACATTTGGAGGATGGCATTTAGGAGAATAATTACATATGGGCCGTGATAGGCACTGTCTGATTTCGTATTCAGACAGAACCAGGTTGCAGACATTTTGGTTGAGCAGAAGGAGGCTGCTTCCCTGCAGTCAGGAGCACGTGAAGACTGTATTTCCTTAAGCATTGGCAATGTTTGGTTTCAGAGTAAAGGAGCACATACGAACACTGAGGGGAAGTGAAGCAGACTTAGTAGAAAATTCGCAGAATGCAATAACACAAGAAATAAGAGAGTTTTTTTTTTAATTTATCTATTTATTAAAGATTTCTGTCTCTTCTTGGCCACCGCCTCCCATTTCCCTCCCCCTCCCCCAATCAAGTCACCCTCCCTTGTCAGCCCAAAGAGCAATCAGGGTCCCTGCCCTGTGGGAAGTTCTAGGACCACCCACTTCCATCCAGGTCTAGTAAGGTGAGCATCCAAACTGCCTAGGCTCCCACAAAGCCAGTACGTGCAGTGCAGTAGGATTAAAAATCCATTGCTATTGTTCTTGAGTTCTCAGTAGTCCTCATTGTCCGCTATGTTCAGCAAGTCCGGTTTTATCCCAGGCTTTTTCAGACCCAGGCCAGCTGGCCTTGGTGAGTTCCTGATGGAACATTCTCATTGTCTCAGTTTGTGAGTGCACCCCTCGCTGTCCTAAGTTCCTTGCTCGTGCTCTCTCTCCTTTTGCTCCTGATTTGGACCTTGAGATTTCTCTCTGGTGCTCCAATGTGGGTCTCTGTCTCTGTCTCCTTTCATCGCCTGATGAAGGTTAATATTCAGGAGGATGCCTGTAGGTTTTTCTTTGGGTTCTCCTTCTTATTTACCTTCTCTAGGATCACGAATTATAGGCTCAATGTCCTTTATTTATGGCTAGAAACCAAATATGAGTGAGTACATCCCATGTTCCTCTTTTTGGGTCTGGCTTACCTCACTCAGGATAGTGTTTTCTATTTCCATCCATTTGCCTGCAAACTTCAAGAAGTCCTTGTTCTTTACTGCCTGGAAACAACCTAGATGCCCTTCAATGGAAGAATGGATGAAGAAAGTATGAAATAAGAGAGTTTGTGAACTCTATTCCCAATTAATTATATTAAATATATTAGAATAACCTATGAGAACAAGTTCATATGTCTGAACTCACGTGATTCTTATTTCTAGCACTACATTAGTATAGTGTTGTGTATATGTAGGACTATTTCAATAGAGATATTTGAAGGTCTTTAGAGCTAGTGTGTGTTTTTGTAATTAACTTAAACAATGGTAATCCGGTGGGTGTGGTGCATATGTCTCTGTTACCCCGGAACTGGGGAGTCTGAGGGACATGAGGAATTGAGTTCCAGAGTTGGAGTCCAGGCATGATAACATAGTGAGACACAGTCTCAAAATAAAGTAAAATGAGAGAGAGTATAGAATCTGCACCCGAATTTAAAATAGAAATGCATTACAAATAAATGTCTTCTAATTTAATAAGTTTTTTTTTTTTCAGTGACATGGCAGGAAAAACTGTGACCAAATCCAGACTATACAACCGGAATGTTAGCACACAGAGATACAATTCTATTGTTTTTACCTAAGAATCTCTGCTGCTATTATAAGAGTGTTAGTAATTCATCGCTGGCATAGCATTGGAAATGATGGTTGTCCTTCTTAAAGCATCTTCCTCCAGGTCGAATATGTTTATGTCTCACGATGATCCTGTGGCGTCATGGGTATCACCAAGGCAACAATCGCTGTTGCACATGACAAGACAGATCCTGTGAGAACAGAAACAGCTTCTGTTCATGAAATACTACTTTTTCCTGTTTTCATTTTAGTTAACTATAGATCCAGAACATACAGTTCAAGTCTCTTAACGTGTGAAGTCTTGGTGAGGTGTCAGGCGTGCGCTTTTTACCTGCCTTGCAATCATAGAATTCCGACATCATAGTCCTAGCTGACTGAACAAGAGTGCTTCTGACCAAGGGGAAGCAAGCCTAGCCTAGTCAGTCAGCTGTGCACATTAAAGACTTCTGCCCTAAGCTGGGTGGCCTCTGGGTAAAGCAGTCGGGGACTCCCTTAAGATATGGAATATGAGATATACAGAGACCGGCTCTGAAATGGGGGGGGGGGGCGCAACATGCTAAAGGCCCAGACACTATCATCACACAGAGCCTTAGAGAGGAAAAAGTCACTTTTGACGGGGCTTTGATTGCTACTCTCTCATTCCCCATACCCTCAAGTATTTTATATCGAAAGGCACTACCCAGTAGTTAAATGTATCAGTTTTCTATTCTTATTGTACCAAATTATCACCATCTTAATGGTTTCAAACCATACATGCTTATCTTAACTTTGGAGGTCAGAATCTGAAATGGGGCTTCTTGAATATAAGTCAAGCTGTCAAGGGCCTGGGCTCCCTGGTGGATGCACTGGCAGGTCCCTTTCCTTCCCTTTGTAATGTTCTAGAGTCTATCTTAACTTCTTCACAGCCTCATACCATCTTCAAAGCTACCAATGACCAGAAAAGTCTTTTGTACAATGTCATTTCTCCAGTTTGGTTTCTTTTGCCTCCACTATCCGAAGATAGTTGTGACTACAGTGGTCAGTCCAAAAATCTACAATGTTCTTTTTACTCCAACACAGCCAAAGAAAAACTTTAGTTACACCCATAAACTTAATTCTGCTTTTTTCATATCAGATATAACATATTTTCATGCCCTAGGGATTAGACAACTTTGGGGGATCAGTAACAGTCATTAACACTTATTTTTGTAAGATTTCCAACGGAAAATATCAAAGTCAAATAATTGTCTGTTGGGGCCATTTACCACCAGAACGCAGCAAAAAATGCTGACAGGACTGATTGCCAGTCTTGTTTTTGAGACAGGGTGTCCTGTAACCCCTACTGACCTCAAACCTGCTGTGTATTTAGAACGATTTGAGCCCCTTGGGCCTGCACTGGGGTTGAGGAAACACATGAGACTGAACTGTTTAAAGTTGCTCAAAATGCTCCTAACAAATCAAATGCCAGAAACTACTTATCAGTTACCGACAGATCCAGCTCTTAGGAAACTCAAAGATAATTAGGATAGAATATATGCTCTCTATTTTCTCTGTAATTGAAATAACATCACTTTAATCACTGGTATACTGTCCCCCCTGTGTCATCTCGACAGGACTATGACAGCAAAGGCAGGGAAGAGGTTGGTATTACACTGTTTAGATTTTGACATTCTGGGCATTATTGACTCCCAACGAGAGTTTTCCCGAATGTACTAGACTGTTAGGCAGAATATGAGAGACCATCCACTCCTCTGCTAACCATAACACATCTGCAATGAGAACATATACTGTGTGTAGAGGAGAATACAGTCTCTGAGTAACGCTACCCTCCGGCTAACTAACTCCTGCTTCGCTCTACCCCATTTGCTATTTTAGTATTTTAGTTTGAGATTTTAGTATCATAAAGGATCAATGAGAAGTGATGGGGTAGCTTGTAAAAGAGACAACACTCATGGCCCACTGAAGAGAAGAGGCAAGGTTGCAAGTTCATACCAGGAGTGATTCTTCACAAGATGCAGCCAAGAGAAAGGATCTAGCTTTCGAGGGGATGTTGTTTGCATAGTAGAGATGCTAGATGGGCAAGTGGGTTGTTGGTGAGACTGGCTCCTAATTAAATTTTGTCAGTTCATCTGTGTTGCCCCAGGTTTAGAAAATGTCAATAATAATGGAATCATCTTGGTATTCTAGTATGGAAAATGTTAAGAATACCACAACAGTATGTGGTTTTATATGTTTATTGTATTAATTCTATCAATTATAATGCAATTATAATTGTCTCTTTTTTATTTTCAGGACTATAATTTAATACATCTCTCTTTTCGTCCTATATACCTCCCCTAGTTCTATGTCAAATTCATGACCTCTTTTTTCACTAATTATTATTGCATTCCTTAATATAACTTGTCTAGTCTATATAATTCTACCTGCACAAATGTTTTCAGGACTGGCTGTTTGGCCTATGGACGACCAATTGGTGTGCTTTTCCCTGGGAAAGGCCACCTCTCCCATTTCCAGCAGTCCTCAGTATCTCACATTCTTTGTATAAGGTTGGGGTCTCATGGACTTTTCTCCATCCAGTTTTGCCTGTTCGTTGGTGTAATTTCTGTTCAGATCACATTTGGGCAATCATACTAGGGGGCGTTATGGGTATAGCTTTTGGTATTGCTAGGAGACTCCCTGTTCATAGGACTCTTAGAATCTTTAAACTTCCTATTCTACGAGGTTCAAGAACATTTCATAGATGTATACTTTAGGGGTGAGCTCCACAACTCTTTTGATTGGTTGAGGTTTTCTGTAGGGGTTTCCATCTATTGCAAGAACATTCCTAGATGAGGGATGATATCTACACTTATCTACATAGGACAAATATTCATAGATATTCACTGGTTTAGTTAGAGAGTGTAGATTTTTCTCTAGTAACTAGGATTTCATTAGCACTGAGTAGTTAGCTAGATTTTCAGTACAAGGCACGGTCTTTGCCTTATTGAACAGGTCATAAATTTTTGGAAGGTTCTGTGTGAAGTGGGAGAGTACTGTCATTCTGAGGATATAGGTGGGGATGATCCCTACTAAGCCTAGAATGTGTTTGCAGTAAAGGAAGCAAATAGGAAGCTATGCTGGTGTACTGGTTGTGGAGAGCAGGCTAAACCTGGTGGATTAAGGAAAAGTTGTGGATGAGGCCAGGGCACTCCCTGGACTAGACCTTTGAGGCAGGCCTGAGAAGTCTAAGTATGAAGTGTGGTGGTGGAGACACTGGAGAGGGTCATGTGGATGAATTATATTCACTCTTTGGAGAATGTTACTACTGGTATTTTACAAACTCAGAGTTTAGTTTCAACTCTAGTGACCAACTATGCCAATTTCTCAGGAACTTTCCAGTGTTAGCATTAAAGGTATTATAATGCAGGGGATCTTAGGGTCTTAAGAAAACTAAAAGAGTATGCCATTCCGAGGTACACTCTTGGACCTTGGCATTGGTAGGACCATAAATAGAGGGGCGGTAAGCTATATAGAAATCCAGATCTAGTGTTTGTCTTTCTAGAGCAGTGGTTCACAGCCTTCCTGATGCTGTGATCCTTTAGCACAGTTCCTTATGTGGTGACCCCAACCATAGAATTAGTTTTGTTGCTACTTATAACTGTAGTTTTTCTACCATTATGAACCATGATGTAAATATCTGTGTTTTCTGATGGTCTTAGGTAACCCCCATGAAATGGTCATTTGACCCTTCCCCCCTGGGGGGGATCATGACTCAGTGATTGAGAACCACTATTCTAGAAGATCATTTCCATTTTAGTTACCTGTACTAAACTATTGCCACACCATGGGCATAAAGACTGTCTCAGCACAAATATTAATATCTAACATATTTCAATTTATTCTTACTCAGATATTCTCCTTTTAAAATTAAGAGGTTAAAGCAAAGAT